TTTATTGAATGGAAGTACGTCAGTGCGGAGTGGTTGCTTATTTGAATCAATGGGAGAGGCAGGGTAAAAAAAGGTGAGGGCAAAATAATTAAGTTACGCAATCTTTTCTTGGCAATCAGTTCAACAAATGAAAAAGTTCTAAACGCAGAGCGGGTACATATATTGCTACCAAGTCCCAGGTCCCACTCCCAACGCACTTTTAAGGCTTCAAAATTGGACCCTATTTATCACATTACGCCGATGATCACATAGTACATACCCTTTCAAGTAAAATATAGTAAATGTGTTAAATTTTGCCTACACAAATGTGTGGAGTTCACGCAGAATAGATGAGATAGATCAGTCAGATGCAAAAAAAGCATAAAAAGCCGAGCGAAACCGGGAATGCCAGCTAGTATTCAATAAAATGAAATGAAGCACTTATCAATCCCTATAAAACCAGTTGCGCAAGTTCGTAAATATGGTTTTAAAGCTATAAGTTGGAACAGAGCGGTTGTTGCGTTCCGTTGGAATATTAATGGAAGTTTTAAACCGGAGTGATTGCTTAGTAGACAGTATTGGGTAATCACAGTCATAGAGCAGTAACTGAGCGCTTAAAAATACAAAGTCGCGCGTAGCTGGATTTCCTAACTAGTTTATACTTAGCAAATGATTGTACAAGAACAGTGCTACGTATGGTAACAGACCTGCCTTCTGTCGATTGTGAAACTGGTTCTTTCTATTTCTTTTCAAACATTTAGCATTGTCTCGAAAATGGTGCTAAAGCGGTAATACTTATGTCTCATCTTGGTCGTCCTGATGGAAAGAAAAATCCAAAGTTTACCTTGGCGCCAGTAGCCGAAGAGCTCAAGAAGGTTCTTGGGAAGTTCGTTGATGCCACCTATTTTGAGCAAGCAGTTAAAGCCTAATATGGTAGCCGATTCCAGAGATGTAAAGTTTTTGGACGATTGCGTCGGCCCAAAAGTAGAAGCTGAATGTGCAAATCCGGCACCGGGATCTGTCATACTACTTGAAAATTTGAGGTTCTACATTGAAGAAGAAGGGAAGTGCACGAATGAGAAGGGTGAAAAGGTGCACAGAAAAATCCTCTGTGAAGTAGAGTGTTCTAAAATCATGATGATTGCAGTTGAAAGCCAAACCTGCTGATGTTGAGAAATTTCGAGCTTCGCTAACAAAACTTGGTGATATCTATGTGAATGACGCATTCGGTACGGCACATAGAGCTCACAGGTATAGATTATTTGTGTATGTTGATTGGGAGGGGGTAAGGATAAGAGACTGTACTTTGTTTGATGTCCCTCACAGAGAGAGAGAGGAGGGAGAGCGAGAAGAGAAGAAAAGGAGAAGAAAGAATTGAGGAAGGAAGCTGAGTTGAAAAGAAGTATTTTATATATGTGATTTACTAGGTATTTTGTTCGTTTTTTGGTAAAAAAACCTTTCGAACAACAATACTTCTGGTACCCTAAATCAATCTATGAATTTCTGAGTCGGAGTTCGATAGCCTGAATATGTTTAAAGGAGATTTTATAGATGGTGAAACGAGATTCCCTTTGGATTTTTTCTCAGTTCATTATAGTGAAGATTTATAAACATTTAAGCTCAATGGTTGGAGTTAAATTGGAGACGCGTGCTTGCGGGTTTTTGATGAAAAACGAGTTGGCATACTTTGGAAAAGTGAGCGAAGTTGCCATTTTAAAAGAGGGAGCCTTTTTTACTATGAAACTTAGGCACTTGGAGACCCCCCTAGACCAT